GCTCTATATATATATATATATTTCGCGATGAAAATAGGTTTCGTTTGTTTCATTCGATATCCCACTAAAAATCCATTTCAATCCGTATTCCGTTTCCCGTGGCGATCACTCAAGATATCTTGTATTAACATAGAATCAGGCTGGAAGTAAAATCTGGCGAGTGTCTGACATTCAACTGCGGAAGTTTGGAATGAAAACAGTTCCCGAAGACTTTGCTATTCCCGATGGAGATTAAGCATTCTCCGTCGCATCGTTCTATCTCTCCGTGAATTCTCGCGATGAGGCACGTCCGCTCCTAAATTAAGCTCCCTCCTTCCTTTTTTTTTTCGATAAAATGGTATAACTCCATCGTTCACCTTTTTGAAAGCGAACATCGATCGCACTTTCGACCGAACAACATTTCAGTGGCATTCTAACTTTCAAAGGTTTCTACGATATTATTTCAACATTTTGATCAATGATTTTTCGTATTATTACGAGTTAAATTTCGACTAAAGACTCGTTAATACGAATGTCATTCGTCATTACAATGCAATGACGTTTTATTTTTGAAACAACTATATTATAAAAATTAATTTTGCGCAATTTTTATCATATATAATTTTGTTTGATAAACTGAGTAATAATAATGACACTAATGAAACAAATCTCACTTTGAGACTGATTCGTAGTTAGAAAAATGAATCAAAATGATCCATCAAATAAAAAGAGACTATTCGAGCAGAATATATTAAGAATTTTTAAACGATTCTCAAACTCTGTAAACTCTGATACCAATTTTATCGGAAAGTAGTATTTCGTTCATAATTATCATTATCATTATTGTTGTACTATATTAATTTATCTTCGGAACGATAAACAAAATTAAATATTAATTTCTCTGGTAGTAAATAAAATGTGAGGCCAAACGAATAAGAAATAGTTATTAATGCTTCAGCAATTCAATTTATTAAATCAAATATATTTAAAAAACAGTATTCAATTATTAAATCTTTCGAATAAATTCTTACTAAAAAAAAAAA